TGGAGGTCTTCCTATGCCAGTGCCATGTGCAAGTGACCTGCTGGTCCCATTCTCTGAAGAGGAAAAATAGCAGATCAGTTTAAGAAGCAGAGTAGGGGTGCGAACTCTTTATGTGCAAGGAATGATTACACTTCTGAGCCAATTATCGACTGTTTCAGCTTCTACTGAGATATTTTGAAGAAGCAAGTAGGAACATTCGGCATTTAATAAAGTCAGAGCAGCTAAGCCTCTTCTCATGCTGTCTTGCAAAGAGAATTAAATCATATAATGTAAGATGCTCCATCCTGAGTGTAACCAAGGCAGGGCTGTGGTCTTCCTCCAAGGGTGTGTCTCTTGGGCATGAGCAGGCATACCCTGACTCCAAGACGTTAGATCCCCTAACTTATGAATAATGAAATAAACTTGTCTAATAATACGTTAGTAGATATGAAAACTTAAGCAATTTAAGTAATAGAATGTAAGAAACAATATAATGCTAAATAGACAGCTTTAATGAGGGAAAATCTGAATGGGGTACAGATTACAAGTTCAGACGTGTAGACGCTCAGCAAGGGGATGATTGCGTTGGAGGCCTCATGGAAGGGAAGAGACCTGACCATTGAGCCCAGGAAATGGGTAGTGAGGATGAGGTGAAAATGGAAAAGTACACAGTGGTGGAGTGGCCAGGAAGCAGTGAAAGAATCTAGCACTTTCTCAAGACAAAACCTATGTCTAGTCCTGGGCTTCACCAAGTGAGTATCATTTTCCTTAGCAAAAGTCCACAGAAGAAAAGAAGGTGGAGTTCATGCTGGAAGGCATTGCTCCCACTTGCAGCTAGTAGGAGAGTCCTGCTAGTGAGACTGTTTCTTTGAATTCCCCCCAAAAATGGAATGGTGATTTCAGACCCATAGGATCTCAGTCTTCTTACCTTGTTCAGTTCACCATCAGGTGGTAACTCCCAGGACCACCACAACTCATAGCATGAACTTCCCTTTAAAATGTCCTGGTTCAAACCTATTTTTCATATCTCCAGAGTCTGTAAAAGAGGTCTGGTACCCAAAGATGAGCTGCACTTTAGGAGGCCCTGTGAATCTCATCTATCTTTCTGCCTCATAGATAAAGTATCTCTCAGATCGTCAGTGCTTTCTCTGGGGCCACCAAGGCAGGAGAAGTCCTAGTACAATGTAGGATGGTCCGGCCCTTTAAAGTCTTCTTTGGAAAAGGTGATGGAGAAATCTCAAACAGTAGGTGCCAAGAGATCAGTTCTCGCCAAGAGTCCCTGAAGCTGGTCCTCATTAATCAGCTCTGCACTCTGTGAAAGAAGGGTGAGCACGAGTATTGTTTCTGAGTCTGTGGCTCTATCTTTGCCCTCCCCAGCAAGTCCATTGCTTGCTCTCCTGCACACAAAGACAGCCACATAGTGCAAGTAATTTATTTGCCTAGTTTTCCCAAAGTCAAGTGAAGGAGGGCACAGTGAACTTTGCAATGTTGGCTGAACCTTTGTGAAAGAGAACTGGGGATCATAAATGATTATGTGTACCCAGAGTTCTGGCACCACGGAGACCAAAAAGACACCTGTGTGGCCTGGAGCTCACCTGAGCAGTTTCCTTTTCTGTCAGACCCCTGGTCGGGACCCAGCTCTGCCTCTGCACAGTCCCTAGAGAATACCAAGCCTGTTTGTATTTCTGGCCTGAAGCTATGATGTTCTCTTCCCAACCTGATGTACCACCCAGAGGAGCACTCTGTTTTCCTGTCTTTGATTGTTTTGACAGAACATCTTATGAAGCAATTTTGAAAGGAGAAAGGGCTTTGGTGTCAGACAGATCAAGGTTTCAATCTTAGACATTTACCTGCTGTGCGACTTCAGGTAGGTCACTTCACATCTCTGATCCATAGTTTCCTTTTTGTTGCTGAGGGTTTAACAATTCTAAACAGAGAAGTACCGCATTGGCAAAGGCCTAGTGCAGTGAGGCCCAGTGCCGAGCTCACGGTTGTTCCCTTTCCTCTCTGTGCTCCAGGTGACTTCCTGAGATCAAGGATTATAAATTAATTCTTCCAGAGCCTCCCTAGTGTTGGGCACACTGCTTTCATGATATGAATACTTTTGTGGGGAGTCAATTGTTTCCTTTGTTTTGTGACCACAGGCGTAGGCCGGTGAGGCTGCTTCTGGTATTTCCAGCAGCTCCTGGATATTGGTTTGCTCCTGCGGTTTTCCAATCCACTGAGCATCAGATTGTATTTCCTAGCAAACCAGTTTTCTCATCTGGGCTCTGAGCTTAGTGGTGAGGGGCTCATCTCATCCTTCTTGAGAGGCAGCACCTCAGGGTTTGATAAAGATGCTGACCTGCTTTTTGCAAGCTTCTGCTGCTTTCCCACATCCCCCAGGCACCGTGCTGTTCCACAATTAATCATTACCTTGTTTGCCTGCCTCTGAAGGAGCTTCCATCCCCTTCCCACCTACTGCTCCTTCTAGACAAGACTCCTTCCTCTGTGCAGCTCTGCACTCAGGCTCTTCCCCGCGGCCCACAGAAACTCACTCACTCCCTTTCTGAAAAGCCTCGCCCAGATTTCCCCATCACACTTGCAGCACCCAGTTATGCTTATGGGTCTCTGTCTCCCCTTACTGTTCTTAGGAAATTGACTAGTTGAAAAATAATACTGTGTTTCTGTTTCGGAGTCCCAGTGTATAATACTGTGCTTGACATGGAGGGACTAAGGAGAGGAAGGAAAATGACAGAAGGACTTTCAGCCATTATAAGCGCTACGTTTGCTTCTTTCTACTATGCTATGGGTCTTTCCCTCTTTATAGCAGTGCATCCAAGTGGGCTTGCACTTAGGGGTTCAAGATAATGCCAACAGATCTCACTTCTAAACTTCAGAGACCTAGAGGGAGGATGTGTGGGAAACCTGTGGGTGGGGTGAAGTGGAGTGGCAGAACTTACCAGAGTTCTTTCCTTTCCTGGAGAATGAGGGTGGAGATTAACAGCATTAAAATATAAGTAGGAAGGTAATTCTGCTAAGCAATGTAATAAATAGTTAAAAATTCAGTGAAGTATTCCTATCCACATACAAGTATTGGTCCCCTCTTTAGGTTTACCTGTGTGATATCTACTGCATATCTGAAAGTAGGAAATAAATCATGCTTCTCAAGGGAACAGGGGGGCTATTCCTAGAGTATCTTGTATAATGTTTTTATTATTTTCATTTCAAACCAGTTGTTCTGAAGTATTCCAAGATCAATAAAAGTTGTAAAATTAAAAGGTTTTAACACATAGTATCTTGCAGTTGACAAAATATTTTCCAGCATCCATCTCACTTATTTCTCACCGCGAACCTATATGTGAGGCTCTTGTTATCCTTGATTTACAAATGAGGGTTGAGGCTCAGAAAGACTCAGTAGTTGCATAAAGCCAATGGATAGGAGAGTCATACCTGAAACAAGGTGCGTCCTACTTGTTTACTAGGTGTGAATTGCTGCTTGGGATCCATTATACAAATCAGTGGAGGATGAAAGAATGGGAAAACATCCGCTGATGCTAAATGTTTGTAAATGCAATGCATTAACAGGCATGACAATAGAAAATCTGTAGTCCTGTAAATCTTTCAATCTATTTAGTATCAAATCATTTTACCCAGTGAACTGTCTACTTCTGACTTTCAAAAGCCATGGAATGGACTTAACAGAACGCACAATACATGTGAATGTGACTGGAGGCCTATCATTTATTGTCTAGGATACTATACCATCTGCTCAAGACAGACTTCAGAGGAACAACCCAGGCAGATTCATACTGTTACTCCTGAGTGTACCAGAGAGTCTTCTCCAGTAACTCAAGGGCCAAGAGGATGTATACATGGGCTTTGGTGTTTTCCTTCTATTTCCTATTAAGTGTCTCTCTTTAGCGTGTTCTTGTCTTCCCTTCCAACTGGACAGGTGTTTGACCCGAGTGGCCAGGGAGAAAATGGACATTATATTAAATGTGAGAAGGGTTCTGTTTCATTAGAAAATCCAAGTAAAACTGAGACCAAAGGTCAAAGATTCCAGTTTGTGAGACTGTTGTTTCCAGTTGACGTTGTAATTGTATGACCAATTCTCATATTTCCAATGGAGAACTTGTAAGTTTTGATTTATGGAAAGGAATGGTGTAGCCAGGCATGGGGGTGCAAGCCTATAATCTCAGTGTTCTGGTCAGAGGCAGGGGATCAAAAGTTGGATCCCAGCCCTAGAAACTTGGTAACTTGGCAAGATATTGTCTCAAAATAAAAATTAAAAAGGATACGGATGTAGCTCAATCCCTAGTACTGAAAGAAAAAAAGAAAAGAAAAGTACAGGAAGACAGAGCTGTGGACAGTGCCTGCGTTACTCCTCTTGAAAGTGGTGTCCGCAGTGTTTTGGGCACACCGGGATGTGCACCCTGCAGTGGGATGGGGTGAAGAGTATGGTGAGCTTATGGCTGCCTGCCTTGAGGGACAAATCACCAGTCAGAAACGGACCGTCATCCCATTTAAGTTGCTGTGACAGGCTGGAAATTGTGCTTGCTCATAATAAGGCCAAGTTTCCTTTGACCAGGTGTATGACCTTTGTCACAGGTGTACAGCCAGCTGCCTACACTGACATTATCCCATTTCCATATCCGCCAAGTGATTGGATTATAATTCCTTCCACACAGATTGTCTCATGAGGATCCAAGGAAATCATGTGTATTGTAGTGCTTTACAGGTCATGAAGGGACAGATTATTATTTATTAAAAATTTGCATATAAAATTTTTTATTTATGAAGCATCTGACATGATTGAAGACCTGTGATCAATTTACCTAAATTTAAGATATTATAACTAGAATAGACAAACCCTAACTGATCACATTTCCTGCTTATTTTTAAAAAGTAGAGGTAAAGTAAAAGCAAGCACGTAAGACAGCAGTCACGAAGCCACACAAACAGGTATTGACACAGCTCAGCGTCTGCCTGGGTGGGCGCCATGACCCTCACCCCCTAATGCTGTCTCTCCTGCACCGCAGGCATGCGCCAGGGCAACGACCACGGCACCCAGTATCGCTCAGCCATCTACCCCACGTGTGCGGCGCAGATGCAGGCAGCCCTGCAGTCCAAGGAGGACTACCAGAAGGTAGGACAGAGGTCAGTCCCTGCATTACCGCAAGGGGTGGTTGCTTCTCCCACCTGGAACTGTATTCCCTTGCACATTTCCTAGCATTTGTGCCAGTCTGTTTCTGTGTCCCAATTTCACGTTGTTTAAGGGCTGTGGTCCTACTGGGTTAGGACTAACCCTAATGACCTCATTTAACTTGAGTACTTCTGCACAGACCCAATGAATAAGGTAAGAGTTGAGGATCCTGCATGTCTTGTCTTGGGAGATACAGTACTACCTATAATGATCACTTACCAGTAACAGTAAAATACTTCTCAGAATTACAATAAAAATACTTCTTAGAAATATGTACTTTATATCATAAAATAATTATTTTTACTATTAACTTATACAATATTTTTAAAACTTTCTCCAATAGAGATTTAATTCTTTTAAAAACAATTCAAATTGCTTTAAATTTTAGAGCTTAATGATAAGGCTAAATTGTAGTTATCCTTATGTTGTCTGATGCAAATTCACATCTATTAATACAGTCAGTAGCCACTCTAATGCTGAGTTTAGGATTAGGTGAATGGGAGGGCTAGGGGGATTTAGCTCAGTGGTTCAAGTGCTTGCCTGGTAAGCATGAGGTTGTGACTTCAAGGTTGTGAGTTTCATCCCTGGTACCAAAAACAGCAACAAAAATATAGAATTAGGTCAGTGGGAACAGGGCATGTCTACTGGTGAGCAAGTACGAGGCCTGGGACTCATGGTCAGCAGGCTGACCTGAGGGGGATGCTGAGAAAGACTGAGCCCTGTGACCCCACTCCACAGCTGGGATCGCATCCTGGATGATGATGATGATCGGACCAGAGTGCAGATGCTGGCATTTAGTCCGCTCTGCTGGAGTGTGGAGTGTGGGGTGGGCCGGATTTAGTGACCGAAGTGATGAGATGTCGCTCCTGAAGTCGTGTAGTTAGGACTGTGGTTTGTGTCTTGGGCTGTCACCTTCTCCCTCTCCCTCTCCCTCTCCCTTTTTCTCTTACCCTGGGCAGCCAACTGCTATGTTGTGAGACAGCCCCTGTAGAGGGGCTCACATGGTGGGAAACCAAGGCTTGCTGAGGACCGCATGAGCAAGCAAGGTGCCCTTCTACCCTTGTCCAGCCTTCAGATGAGACTGCAATTCCAAGTGGGCTGTCTGACTGCAGTGTCATGAAAGATATTGAGCCAGGGAACTAGTGCGCTATACCACAGAAACTGTGAGATAATAGATACATGTTATTTTAAATCGCTCAGTTTGGGAATACTTTGAGTATATTTATATTTTTATTTCAAACACTTTTGCCTACAAAAGTTCTAAAATTTCTCCTATTTGTCCTCAAAAGTTTCTCCTATTGGTTTTCGTTATGACTGGCTGGTAAGAGTGGGCTTTCCCAGGCGTATGTGGTGGTGGTAATGCATGTACCTACCATCGACTGTCCTAATTCACATGTGCAGTTTATTATCATGTGCTGGTCACTTACAAAAAGAACGGTGTATTTTATTTAACTCAGGCCAACCTATGAGGCTAAAGGAGATTATCTCATCCTTCAGAGGCTCGAACACATGAGAATCACTACTTATAGGATAAGTAGGAATAAAGAGGAATAGGCCTAGATAAGAGGAGATGAAGTGGGCAGCTACACAGGACTCCAAGGCAGAAGTCTGGAGACTGCTGCCCAGGATGGTGGAAGTAGGGAGGCAGTGAAGCAGAGTTCAAGGAACCTGAAGCTTCACTGGAAGTTGGAGGTCACTGAAAGGGAGGTGTCTGCAGTTACTTGCAGGTTTCTATCCGGTGCTATTCTGAACAACAGTAAGGAGAAGCAGAGGCAGATCTGCAGGGAAGGCAACTTCAGTTTTGAAAATGTGGACTGAGGCTCCCATGGTACGGGCAGCCAGGTGGTTACTGGGAGGAGGCCTGGGCTCCTTGTTCCTTGGGAGTTGTGTTATCTGGGTTAAGGCTTGTGAAGCACAGGGCTACCACATAGTAAATGCTCAATGAATGAGACCCTTATTAACATACGTTTGCTAAATGGACCTATTTGCTGATAAGACCACTTACAGAAGCTGATAAGAGTTAAGGGAAGAGGGCTTAAGGTCTGAGGACCATGGACATTTAAGAAACATGCTAGGCATTTTGGAGAAAAACAAAACAACCCCAAACAAAAACTTTAAAAATAGGTCTATTTGGTTTAATCCTAATATATTCAGTTATAAAAGCAATGCTTGTAATTAATGCCAAAGTGAGACATGAGTCATGCTCTAAATAAATTGCCCAGTGTAATGATCCATAGTCCTTGTAGATTACTAGCAATGGTAGAAAAAGACTCTGGGTAGATATTAATTAGCTGGTCTTCAGAATATCTCAAATAAGATGATATTTTCATGTTCACACTAAAAATTCTATGTACCATGTGATGGTGAGAAGACTTACGTTATTTTCCAGTTTCTACCCCATTTAGTTTCTTACCCTTAGCTTCAAGTCAAAACTGTGTTGGTTTTAGATAATCAATGTCCATCAGAGATAAAATTTAGGCATTAAACAATGAATTAATTGTTTTATTCATTTCTCCATTATTTTTTGCATTTTGGAAATGTTAGTCTTATAGACATTTGTTCTAACTGAATAGTTTTTGGATGTTCTACATGTCAGCACATGGGAGAGAGATATTTGGCTTGGCTTTAAGATTATTTTTGAAAAATAAAGACTGAGAACTCTTCTGCTTCCAGTACCCAGATATTCTTTGCCCCTTATTTAACCACAAAAATTACATTCTCACCAACTCAGAGAATGAACATTGTTAAATATCTCTTATTCTATCACATAAATAAAACTGGCTTCGATACCACTGAGAGATGGGTAGCAAGTCCACTATTTCTGTTCTAATTAGCTACTAGCCAGAGAGTCTTTACTCTCAATCAGCTCTTCCAATGCCAGGCCGCCGCCTCCTGCCATGATGGCAGTAGTCCTTTCTGTGCTGTCTGGCAGAGTAGCCTCTTGTCACATGTGGCTGTTGAGCAGCTGAAATGTGATTGAGTGCAACTAAGGAGTTGAAAATATTCTTGTAATCAATACTTATATTAAACAGCCACATGTGGCTGGTGCCTGGCACATTAGACAGCATTAGCCCAGAAGGGGATGAGTGCGTGTGTGCATGTGTGTGTGTGCGTGGGTGTGCACACATCTACAACGTGAAGGGACCAAGCCCACGTCAGTCTGGCTGCCTGGCTGGACACTGCAGGCAACTTACCTTCCATCCCTGCTCCAGCTTCTTCCCAGAGCACAGAACCGTGGGATGTGCAGGCCCTCATGACCTGCAGAGGTGCTATGCCAGGGTCCCATTGCCTTTTTCTTTCTGGAAAAAAAGCTTAGGTCTTTTTCCTCTTTCCAAGTATCTCACTGCAGGGGCAGTAGAAATAACTGCACATCTGTACCCAGTGACCTCCTTAGCCTGAGACCCACAGAAGGCTAAGCCCAATTTTGCAGCTCATGTGCAAGAACCAGCCTGTGTGTGTGATGCTGGGAGCTGAAGCAAGGGACAGGGAGAGGAGAGTGGTGGGAGGTCCAGTACACATTGGCCTTTGCTGTCCTAACAGGTGGTCTGAGCCTTTGAAAATCATCAGCCCTTCTCTGATGGACATCATCAACCAGGGCACCCTGCACCTCTGGCTGTGTGTGTGGGCTCAGCCCAGCAGGTAGGGGCAGGACAGCAGGCACGTGCCCCGGGGACAGGGTAAGACACTGACCATACATGCAGCTGCACAAAACTTATGAGAGGTTGTGAAGAGCCATGCACCACCACTGGCACAGTGGCAGCCAAGACCACCAGGATGTGAGGTGAAAGTGATGCCATTTTTATGAAGAGTCCTCCATACCTACTGCTAGCCCCAAGCCAGGAAGGCTGCATCTCCAAGGGCTCAAGGCTGCCTCCAGGACTGGGTGGCTCTCTGAGGTTCTTGCTGGAGCAGAGGAAGAAGATGGTAAGGTCACTCTTGGTAGGGCATCCTGCTGCATCCATGGAGTCATCCAGTAGATGGCTTTCTCTAGCCAGTTTGTAGACATCAGTGATGGACAGTGCCTATGTCACTATGCAATAATAGCAGCAATAAGGATAAATAGCCAAAGAGACTTACTAAATGCTGTTACCTCCTGAAATGGTTCATTAACTAAAGTCATTTGTAGGTCTTCAAAGTGTCTTCATATACATATATAGATACAGTAGATATGCTTAGCTATAGGTATGTATATCTCTGTACCTCTATAAAATTGTATGCACACATTTATTTGTGAGATCTTGTTTCTTGCTTTGAAACTCAAATGAATTTCTAATTGTTCATTCCATTGATATAACTGATAAAATATATACCAAAGGGGGCATGAATAAACCAATAATTTGCTTGTGAAAAATGATATAATTAGCCCTTCACCATAAAGGAATCAATCTTTTCTTTTATATATATATGAATATATATCAATCTATTCTTTTATATGGACCCCACATAGGGTCCATCACCTTCACCATGACCTAAGGGGAGCAGACAGTTAACCCCAAACTGGCTTTCATATATCTTCTGTCTGGGGTCACCTTGAACAAATTCCTGAAACAATAGGGACATTTAATCATGGAAATAGCTTCTAAACACTAACAGGTTAGTGTAGAACTCTGTAATCTTGTGAAAAACATTAGATTTACTTCTAAGAGCAGGGAAATTCTGCAGATGACTCATTCTGTTCATGTATAATTTCCCATTTTCCCCGTAAAGGTTGACATTTCTGGCCCTGGCACTATGTTTGGGACGTCATCTTATCCTGAGCCTGGTGAGGCCCTGAGTGCTAACTATAACACTGACTTAGGTTACTAATTTGATAGTCCTCACTAGTTTGCCCCCAGCGACCCTAGTAACCAGCTTATTCAGCAACTTCTTTATATGTGAAGTTGAGAGTGACAGGATTGCTTACCACAGAGCAGCCATTTGAACATAAAATTAGCTGATTTTAT